CTGGAGTTCAGACGTGTGCTCTTCCGATCTGTAGAAGAATGTACCTTAGCGAATAGATCTAATATATATTTTATATACAGAGCATTAATGACATAATAAAATCCATAGAAAAAAATTACAGTGAAAGTACTAAAACTATCTATGTTATTGAAAGTAAAGGCATAATTGAAAATTTTGAGTTGATAAATGTACAGAAATTAGAACAAATTGTAATGGCTTTGCCACAGAAGAAGGGAACAGATGAAGAAATATCTAGTGATATATTAAAAATAAGCTTTCATGTGATAAAGGATGAACTATTAAGGGTAATAAATGATTCATTATTAAAGGGTATATGCCCGGAGAGATGGAAAACATCTACGATAATACCGATTCCTAAAATAGTAAAACCAAAGAAAGCAAGTGAATATAGACCAATTAATATATTACCAATTTATGAGAAAGTTTTAGAGTTAGTAGTAAAGGAGCAAATAGAAAAATACTTACATAATAACGATACAACATTATAACAGAAAATTGGGATTTAGAAAATGTTATTCGTGTGAAACGGCGATACAAAATGTCATTGATGATTGGAAACTGATGGTTAGTGAAGGAAAAATGGTAAGAGTAATATTCCTGAACTTAAAACGGGCATTTGAAAAGATAGATCGGACAAGATTACTGGATAAATTAGATCAATATGGAATGAGAGAAATGGTACTATAGAATGGTTTAAATCATGTCTAAGCAACAGAACACAACAAGATTTAATAATCAATGGTCAAAATGTATTGAAACGGAGTATAGAGTTTCACAAGAATCGGTTCTAGGGCTTTTGCTATTTATAATTTATATAAATGATTTAGTACACTTTTGTTCAGAAGAGTACAATATAAAAATGTTTGCAGATGATACGATAATATATGTAAAAGATGAAAGCAGTACAGAAATGAAGTTGAATACGATGTTGCCTACAATAAAAAAATGAATGAGTGCAAATAAATTAAAAATGAATGCCCTTAAAACAAAGTATATGATAATTAAAGTGTAAGGAAAGAATTGAAAAGAGATATCAAATTAAAATGTTATGATGGCACTGCGATAGAACGCGTGGAATTCATTAAGTATCTTGGCGTAATTATTGATAGTAAACTCCGATTTGAGAACCACTGTGATTATATACTAAAGAAAATAGGGAAAAAAATTAATTTCTTAAATAGAATTGGTAGTGACATATCGAGGTATACTAGATGTATTGTTTATAAATCAATTATAGCGCCACACTTCGAGTACTGTGCAACGCTGTTAATGGGTATGGGTGAGACTCAGCTGACGAAACTGCAAGTAGCACAAAACCAAGCCATGAGAGTTATATTGCAATGTGATAGATATACGAATGTCGAAAAAATGCTGCAAACGCTGCAGTTTATGTTAGTCAGGCGTAGATTATGTTACAATGTGTGTATCTTTATTTTTAAAATAGATGCAGGAGCATCTAGGATAAATTAGTTGTAGTAGAAGATGTAAGCGAGATGCGAACAAGACAATCGGAAAATATTAGAGTAGATTTGAGAAAAACAAGAAGCGCACAAAAAAGTTTATTCTATAAAGGTGTGAAAATGTATAATGCCATACCGACGGAATTGAAGCAATGCAATAGACTTGTAGTATTTAAGCGTATGTTAAAGGAATACATAATGACTACGTTACCTATACTTTAAGACAGTTTGTTATATATTATGTATGCAAATAACTGAGAAAGCTAATATCATTCATTCTCTTCCTCTCCTCCCCCCTCCTCTCTCTCTCTCTTTCTCTCTCTCAACTCGGTCCATTCGTCTTTTCCTCTTCCGATTATTTTCATTATCGCGTGGAACGAAAAGGAACGCTATTTGAGAAAGATATGGGTCGACCGTCCGTCTGGAATTAGAAGACTCCCCAGTCGTCGATTCAACCTCTTTTTTTCCCTCATGGAGTGACTTTCTCGTTAGTGTTGCTCGCGAATAAAGACGCACGTTTCCTTACGAGGTGATTTAAAAACGTCCGAACTATGAGCAACCTCGCTGATTAAAACGTCGAAGCGACAGACTTTCTATAGGCACATTCACATACAGCCAAATGTTTTCGCGAAGATATGGAGGAGACAGAAAAGTATACCGAAAATGCTGCATAAGCATGAAAAAGGCGAATGACCGAGTTGGCAATGATAAGCGATGCGATAAACCACGCGTGTCTTTTCGTGGATTCATTAATTGAGACTTAACGCGTGAAATAGGTACATAAAATAAAATACAATTGATACAACATTTAGGTTGTACACAGAGAAAAATATTTCTTTATATTTAACAAGATACAAAAAAATAACTGTTTCAAACATTCGTGTTTTATCTGCCAAACAATTTAGTTAAATGCAACTTTGAACCCAACAAAACTGCAAAATTTGTATTCTAAAAAATAATGTTTCATTTAAAATCTTATTGTTTCAATGAAATAAACGTAAACCAAATATAATAAATACTCAACGTAAAAAAATATTTTTCATTGTATAATAAATAGAAACGTCACTTTTTGAATTATCTAGAGAATTATCAATTGTGAATATGACTAATGAGTATTGAATAATAAATTACGTACTATGTAATATAATAATTAATACTATATTACATAATAATTAAATAATAATTATAGGATACTGAATTATATAAGTCAAATTTCCGTCGTATGTTAACGATAAATATTGTTACGAAAACAAATGATATTTTTCTCTGAACATGAAAAATACGGAATTTATTGCAACTGTATAGACACTATAGACGATTTGGTTTTGAATAAATGCGACAGTTTTAACTATCGTATTTTAATGTACTTTATAATATAATACTTTATACTTTACAGCACGATAGATCATCCAAAATAACATTAATCTCTAAGTTTTCTTAAGTCGTAATCTTCAATTAGCCTCGTTCCTTTCATTCGTCGGAACTATCACAAAGTATTTGTGATCACGGCGAGACGCTCTCAGAAGCGATTTAAGCGTGGAATTAATGAGCAAGGATCAATCATGGTGATACTTGACGTTGATTACGACTCATCGTTACGATTCCTCTTTGCAATTGAGACCGATTAAATGTATATATTATATCCTGTGTACATCCCTATTATAAATATCAACGAGTTTAAAATACCCTGGATACAATACAACGTGGTCCAGCGTTTCTCTCTAACTAATAATGTTCAAAAATATTTCAATTATCCGTGCTTAATCTGCAATAATGTGATTCCGTATTATTAAAACCTAAATGGAAAAGAATTATATAACATGATTAAATAACAAATAACATCCATATAAAAGTTAGCTATGAAATAAATCTCATCTCAAGACATATTTCGGAGCGTACTCGTGTAAAAATACGACAATTGAGTGTCTGGTTTCTTGCGACCGCGCGAACGTATTCTATGTTCGAAAAAACCTTTATTGGGAAAAAAACGACCGTTTAAACCACAAAGATATCGCTCTGTTGTGTTACACTTTCTATACGCCGGCTATTGTCAAATATTCAGCACTCTCTAATTTTCCGAGTGCCTCGTCAAGTGAAGGAAAAATTCGAGATATGATGGCATTAGCGGATGACATTTATTGACACGCAACAAGACATTTATTCGCTACACCTGAAGCATCACTTCTTCTTCTCGAACCCACATCCACACGCACGAACCCATGCTTTCTTACGTACAAGCTGCACTTTCGCAATTTTCTTTGTCGCAGTATTTCCCTCGTATCTCCACGTCGCATTGACAATAATGCGTATCGGATAATGATAAAGAGAATCGCACGAGTAAATAATATACATCTCGAAGGGACGGAGCATGGTATGCGTGCGAGCGAACTTTCTCCCTCCGCCCTGGCGCGTTACGCTCAAATAACATTCGAACCTTAAATAGCGCGGCCGTTCATGTTCAAAAGGGTTAAAACGCCTGTGATTGAAATGAAAAACGTTGGGAGGTCGTTGTGTGCTGTCGCTCCCAACCGGAATGATATTCCAAGCGTGTGTGCATGCAATTCCCAAAATCGCCGCCTAAGGCGATGTTTACAGTATGGACGCGTTCTGGCAAATTCATCCGTCCCTCCCCCCCTCCTCTCTCTTTTCACCATTGGATGGGCTGGCGCAATTAAAAACTCTTTATATCTACATTTTTATCTGTTTTATCTTTAATCCTCATGTATGTCCTGTCGTCACAAATACTACAAACTAGCTTTTGAATCATGAAAGAAAAATGGCTTTTTATGCAACTTCATTTATTGAAGACTTTTTGCGAATTAAATGTTGAAAATATAAACAAACAACGAAATTTTATCTTACCACTCGTTTTAGCAGTATTCTAATCCAGAATCTATTTTCTAAAATTAACTTAATATTAACTTGATATTGCTAATTAAAAATGAGAACGATGAGCATCCAAAATTTTCGTTATAAGAGATAGAGATAAAAGAGATAGATAGAAAATCTGCTTTAAACTATTCGATTTTTTCTGATAGTCGGATAATTCGAATCATTCGTCTTTCAAATTTATTCGGATCTTTATTTAAACCTAATTAATACAATTATTCCCAATCTGATTCGAGTGAAAATAGCAAAACTACAGAAAGTTTTATGAAAGCCAAAAAAATAAAAATACACTTCAAACTTTCTTCAAACTGAATGTTATTGCCAGATTTAGTCGTATAAACAATTTCAATGGTCGCTGAAAGAGTTTCAATAGACTCATTCTTTTCAACTGAACTTCTTGCATGGTTCATCTTTTATCTTTGTCTCTCAGAAAGTTGGAGAAAAAGAATAGAAAAGATGAATGGTGCAAGAAGTTAAAAAGCAGAAACTCAGGAAGGAGATCTAATAAATAAAGAGGGATACAGGAAAAGAGAAAGCGTGAAAAAATATCCGGCTGAGCAGAATAAAAATTGTCGCTTACTTTTCTCTCGTAGTCGCGATTCGGTACGGCGAGCCAAGGTAGATCGGTGACGTGGGCGCGAAAGCTTTCGTCGAAGTCGAGCACGTCGGTTACGTTACTCCAGAGGACCACGTGCACCACCTCGAATCTCTTCCTCTTCTCGCCGCCGCCGCTGCTGCCGTTGACACTCGTGTAAAGCTCGACCAGCTGACGAGTGAAGTCGTCGCAGGTCGCACCGGGATTCACGAAGCTGAAGTACATGCCAACGATCTCGCAGGTCGATCGGCCGTCTTCGTGGACGAGTGTAGCGGCCGCCGAGTCGATTGACTTCCTCGTGTCATTAACGTGGCTGCAACGCACGAGCTGCTTGCCGAACAGCCGATGCTGCCAGCATAGCGGCTTGCCAGCCGTCGATGGGGCTTTTTTCCCGGCACCCGCCGTGGATATCTGTTCACTGACACACCGTTCGGCCATCGCTCTGCGACGCGACTGAAAGAAGGGCGCCTTGTTCACCGGCGACCGGCGGGCGGCGACGCGCGCCGACAACCGGAGCGAAGGAACCCTTCGATGGAGGAGGGGTTGGACGCCGCCAGAGTCGCCAGACGCCGTTCCGTCGCAACACACACCACCACGTGTCACCAACCACACCAACACACCGCATGCAAGGGCAAACACAGACTGAATTCGTATCAATTTGTATTCAGCGTATTCAGTATCTTGCCAACTTGCGCGCGGCGATGCCGTACGAAATATAAGCGCATTCGAAACGCGCATCCGAAATCGGATACGCTTCGATAGAGTAAAATATTTGCACTTAGGTACATTTGTTTGGCTCTTTTAACACATTTAATATTAATATATATATTTCTCATTCGGTTAAAAAGTGTCACTAATTTTTAACATTGATCTCTTTTGTTAATTACTCTTTATAGCAAGATTTTTTCTTAGAATTTTTTAAAACTTCTACAATAGTTTCTGAATTTTTCAAAATATCTGTATAATTTTATAACTTTTTAGAATATTTCTCAGATTATTTAATTTAAATTAGAAAACTTTTCTGAGAACTGAGAAGTATTCAGATAGAATACTTCAGAAATGTTGAAAAAGTTTATATCTTTTCTAGAATTCTTTACGTATAGAAATTCTGGAAGATTTTAAGATTTCTTATTTTATCATTTCAAAAGAAAATTTATAAAATTTGAAGATATTTAAAATATTTTTTATTTTCTTAAATTTAAAACATAACAAATTTTTTTAAATATGACAAATAAGAATTTTTTATCAGAAAAATAGTATAAATATGTTCTATTAAATTTATTCTTTCAAGACAGAGAGAAAAGAGAAAAAAAAGAAAGAAAAGTATTCTTTAAAAATACATAGATATTGATATTTATTAGATAGTAAAGATATTTAATTTATGTGTACCTTGATATATCATATATATGTACATAAACATTCAAGTTTAAGAGCAAGTTATTTTTATTATCTTACAGCAAAATAAATCCTATAAAACATATATAAAACATGAATTAAAAGTTGAAGCTCAAAGTTCAAACTGTACAAATTCCAATCCAAATCAATTCAACCGTTTGTTGAATTGTTAGCTTTTATCATTCGTGGAAAATTCCAGTCACTGGTATTGACTAGCAATGAGACAAAACATTAGAAAGTTTTTTATAGATGCAAGTTAGCATCTATTTGATATCGCGAAAGTGGGGGATTTTACAGAATTTAATGCTTTGAGCATCGATTTATTAGATTGCTGTTGGCAATTTAATTGTGATATTACATACTATTATACTTGGTTCGGAGCTACGGAGATGCACGCGATTTGCGGCTACGTGGTGTTATATAAACCAAAAATTGTAAGATTCACACTAATATTATACGGAAGCACCAAGATCCGCTTTGTATCATATTGGTGTTTTAAGATCTCATTTGTTAGAAAGTTTTTTGTTCCGCTTTTTCTAAGACCTAAGAATTATCAAACTTTCGTAGCTAGAATTTCTAATCTGGTTCTCTTTTAGTCAAAAACACAAATTTTAAGAGTTAGAGCAGATGTCTTTATAATAAATATGTAAGTATATTGTGAAAAATATTACCTCAACCGGGATTCGAATGTGGCGTTTTTCGTTTCTTAATTGTATATAACATGGTCTATCCTCTCCTAATACCTTACTTAAAAATTTTTTATGTATAAGATAAGATAGAAGATTTTATATACAGGGTGTAACTTAAATAGCGACCACTAATCATATAGTGTTATTCCTGATCAAAAATTGAGTCAAAAAGTTCTGAGCCATTTTTTTCTACAATTTTTAATTAAGCAGTTATTCCCGAGTTAAATTAATCCAGTCGATGCCCTTTTAGACGGGCGCACATCAGTGATTTGCGCGCGTAGTGTGTACGTGAACATAGCGGTGAGACATAGCGACGTAGCGGCACGGCACGCAACGGAGCGCTCACGCACACTACTACGCGCGCGGCTCACTGATGTGAGCCCGTCTAAAGAACGGCGTCGATTGTTTAACTTGGGAATAACTGCTTAATTAAAAATTGTAGAAAAAAATGGCTTAGAACTTTTTGACTCAATTTTTGACCAGAAATAACACTATATGATTAGTGATCGCTAAATTAAGTTACACCCTGTATATAAAATCTTCTATCTTATCTTATACATAAAAAATTTTAAAGTATACATTTCAAAATGACGGATCCGAAATATATTCTTAAATAATACATTAAGATTTCTGGAAAAATATGATAGATATGGAAAAATATTTCAAATAAAAACTGTACGGTATAGGGAGATACTACATAAGAAAATATCATTAATTTTATTTTAGGCGGTGCCGTTAAGATCAGATCAAGATTACATTGATTTTTTTAAACGGAATTATATATTTTTTTACATATTATACAATTACTCTGCAAGTAAAAGTATTAAGGTAAAGTTATCAAAAAATCAATATTTTACGAGATACTTTATCATGCCATATTTGATATATAATATGAAATATCAACATCTCGTAAACTATATTGATTTTTTGATAATGGTACCTAATATCTTTAGGCACAGAATAATGAGATGAATTGATGTAAAGAAAACACACAGTTACTTTAAAAATTTTTAAGAAATGCATAAACTTATTAATTTCAAAGTCGAGAAGTAATCTGAAGATATTAATCGATTTCGATGAAATTTTACCCAGACTATATTGAAGTCCATAACTAATTTTTGGAGGGTATTACTAACCAATTTTCAAAACAAAATTTTTTTTCGCCCACTCTTATATACATATACATATATTAGGGTGGACCTTATTTTTGACTTTCGAATTTTTTTCACGACGCCCCCTAAAGTTGTTCCATTTGGTTAAAAAAAAAAATTAGTGTAAAATTAGAGCTCAATCGGACAACGGGAAGACGTGGCACATCTAACTTGAAATTTTTGAATTAATTCTCGGAACACTTTGTAAAGATTAAGTTTGTTTTTTGCAAATATTAAATGGCAATATTTCCGTAATGTGCTTCAGAAAAAGAGAGAAAAAGAGAAAACATCTAAGTGAATTATGCAATTAACTCTCAATTTAAAATTCTTTTAAATTTTATTTTAGTATAGATTTATGATTTATATTTTTGAAATTTAATGCATGAAAACTTTATAATTCAAAACTATCGACAAATAAATATTTTTCTCCTAAACTGTCTTAAAAAAAAGTAATTGCAGCTTGTTCAATGAAATTGATATGAAATTGATATGGAAATTGTGAAAACGCTTAGTCGTAAACGACACAGCAGAACGAGGAGTTAAGCTCATGCACGATTTTAATCAAATTTTGTCGAGAAATGAGGAGAAAAAAACAATTAATTTTTCATACCGTGTCACATTAAAGAACTCAGTGTCCAAATGTCCATAAATCTACTCTTATTAAGGATTTGTAAAATTATAATAGATTTAAATATTACAATAAATTGTAAAATATATAGATGCAAACAATATATTGATATCTTTATTTTCCTGCTTGTTTATAAATATAAAAATACGGTATGTTTCGTACACACATATATAATATTATACATATACAATATATTTTGTTAAAATACGATTTAAATATACTATATTTACTAAAAAACATACTATCATGGTCACCATTTACTAAGAAAATCATTTAATCTTTATTCAGAATTTTTTTCATCGGATTTCCCCATTTTTTGTGAAAAAAATATTTGTTTCAACTTTAACAGGATTGTGCCACATCTTTCCGTTATCTGATCGAGCTCAACGTTTACACGTTTAATTTTTTTTTCACCAAATGGAACAACTTTAGGAGGCGTCGTAAAAAAAATTCGGAAAAAATTTTTCACCAAGTATAAATAAGCTCCACCGTTGTGTGTGTGTGTGTGTGTGCGTGCGTGCGTGCGTGCGTGCGTGAGTGCGTGCGTGCGTGCGTGCGTGCGTGCGTGCGTGCGTGTGCGTGCGTGCGTGCGTGTAGGTGTGTGTGTGTGTGTGTGTGCGCGTGTGTGTGTGTGTGTGTGTGTGTGCGTGCGTGTGCGTGTATGTGTGTCACGGGAGTGACGAACCGTGGAGTCCTTATGCTGCTGTGACACGCACGCACGCACGCACGCACGCGCGCACGCACGCACGCGCGCACGCACGCACACGCGCACACACACACACAAACACGATGCGCAAAATCCAACCAGCAACCTCCTCGTGGTGCGCATCGGGTAATGCTAATGCTGGCGGTAATTTAACGAAAATGCAATGATAACTTTGACATGTCGTAATTCCGCGAAAAAAAATCGTACGAAGTTTAAATTTTTTTCAAATTTGTAGCAAAAAGTCCAATCTTTACGATGATTGCCATAACATTTGCGAGAAAAATTCATTCAGTCCTGTAGAATGCGTCAAATTATGCAAACTTTTTGGAGACGTAACATGTCTTTACTTTTTAAAAGATCACGGGTAGGAGGAAAGGTAGATTAAAAATCTATCAGAAGCATCTTTAAGTACAGGTTTTACCCTTGAGAATGAAAAAAAAACTTCTTGATACACCATTTTTCGCGGAGTTACGATTGTCTAAAGTTATGCGAAATTTTGATGTAAATTTACCTATG